TTGGTTTCAGCCCAGGGTGCAATACCCGCGGGCGCAGGGCGTTGGAGATCTGGTTGGCTTCAGCCCAGGGTGCAATACCCGCGGGCGCAGGGCGTTTTGGAGTGTGCGATTGGGCTCATCACGCTCACTGCCAATTGTTTGGATCGCTGCTGGCCTGACCTGAGGCATTAGAGGGGGGACGCTGCACCAGGATACATCCATCTTTGACAAGTCATGCCTGAACCTGAGTCCCTCTGTCCCGCTCAAATTTCATTCAATCTAAGACGGTCCGTTGAGGCTTCTCAGACTTCATTGATGCTCCAACGCTTGAGATCGAGAGTGCTGTACTGTACAAACCAAAGGCAAAGGCTAAGCCTAAGTCAAAAAGAGAAAAATTATCAGATCAAAATGAAGATGATGATGCGGGTGAAAGGCTGGGTTTGTTTTAGGTTTGAGTTGACTGAGTTGACTTGGGGAAAGTTTCATATTTTTTTTCCTGGACCATTGACCATTGGCAGGAAGACCAGACCCCGTCACAAGGAAGCAGAGAAGGACCTCGCACGCGTAGCTGCCCTGCGACAACGACGCAGTACAGTACGCGCCAGTGTGCGACACTCAGCCCAGCTCAAAACAAAACGCAATCAATGATGTCTCTATATATATATATTATAATAATGTAAGACACCCCACTCCCCTTTACTATGATATAAAGATAAAGACGTGCTTGAACCTACTACATCCCAGTACTGTAAGTACTGTGGTGGTAGTGGTAGTAGTAAGTGTGGTTTCAAGACGTCCTTAGTCGAACAGTCGAACGAATCAAATATTAGAAAGCCGCCGCCGGGAATGCTGAACTGCCGATGATTTATTCCAATGATCAATGATCGACATTGAATTGGAATATGAACTGAACTCACTTGAACTCACTCCAACTCGACGTCAACTTCTTATTCTCCATGCACTGTTACAGTCTTTTTGGGTCAAGGTGGGAACAACGACCGAGCTTCTGGTTGAATTTGGCAAGCAGCTGGCAAACACAGCGAGTTTCGATCTGGCTGAGCCCGGTCCTCGTCAATCCTGCTCTTGAATTCTTAAATAACTGACTGATGATGACTCCTCATTGTCCATCAAAGTTACCAGTGTCCACTACTACTGACTCACTGACTTGGAATGAGGAATGAGAAGCTTGTGTCTGGCAAGATTGGGCAGCTGTTGAGCTTCTTGCCAGAAGAGAGCTATGATGGGATTCAGGAGGCTTTGGCATTGACTGAGGGCGAGGGCGCAGCCAAAGCCGCAGAGGGTCTTTCTGAGGTTGATCGGAGGGCAGGGAAAGCTGGCTATGACAGGGTGTGTTCTCTTATGAGATTTGGTGATGGCCGTCCAGACAAGCGCGCACTTTCGCCAAGCAGCCGCAGCATTGCGGAGAAGGCGCGGCGGGTTGCATTACTGCTGAAGCTAAGGCTAAGGTGAGGTGAGGTTCAGTCATTGGCTACTGATCCCCTGAAACGCAGGCTTTTGCGTCAGATGCCACCGTGGAGGGGAAGGACACCAAAGCGTATGACAAGGCGCTTGCCAACGTGGTCAAGGCCATCAAGGTATACCAATGCGGCCTGGATGAGGCTATTGCTGAATGCCAGCGTGGCTAATCTGAAATGAGTCTGAGACTATGAAACCTAAAATGCTAATTCAAACCAGCACTCAGCTAAGCAATTTTGAGCGATGCCAGCGATGCTAATGCTAATGCTACAATGTAATGTTCTCTAACTTTACCACAGTAGATACAAGATGATGATGAACCGAACCGAACCTCGGAATCGTCGCTCCAATGGTCCAATGGGCCAATTGGATTCCATTAAGGCAAGAAGGCTGCTGAGGAAGAAAAGGTCAAAGAAGAACAGGAGTCCTCCTCTCCGTCTTCGCTTTCAGAAGGGTCTGAGTCAGATGGAGAGCATGCTGCTGACAAGGCCGCTGCACAGGCAATCGAATCTCACAAAGCCAAGCGCAACTTGGACTGGCCACTGATGGCGGAAGTGAAGGCTAGGAATGTTGTGCTAGTCCAAAGCAGAGGTGATAGATCTCTTATGAAGGAGATGGACAAGGCCTTTGACCAAGCTCTTCTCTTCGATGGATTTTCAGCCAAATTTCCTGAAGGAGTGAATGCCGACTTTGAAGCTTTTTCCAAAGTCGCCAATACAGTGGATGGAAGCAAGCTCAGACAAAAGTTTGTCAGAGACAAGCCAAGTGAGTTCTCCCAAGTGATGGAGTCAAAAGATTGGACAGCTCAGGACGAGGTCATTTTGAGGGAATCCTTTTGGGCTGCTTCATTGTATGCGGCGCATGGAAAGGAATTCATTCAGAAGGTGGAGGGTGAAGGTGATTCTAAGTCAGAACGGAACATACTTATCGCCAAGCTTTTCAAGACTCGGTACATGGCCTATAAGTCTGACTTCCAGTTTGTAGGAATCTTGGCCCGGCATAATGCCTATTTGTGCTTAACGCATACAGCAGCATGGTAGGCAGTAAGTAGACAGCAACAGGAACAGTGCTTGTTGAGGTTCATCTTGCTTCACCCAATCCAATCTAATCGCCCTCAGAATCAGACCCGACCAACAACCAATTGCTGAATTAGTCAATGATCGCCGCAGACTAAGGACCGGCAGAAATGCTCCTTGGCCGCGGTGTAGCTTGTGTGAAAGGTTTCCGCTTTGTGGCCGGCATTGATATCTTTGATTGGCGGGACTACATGAAAGGCAAGGACTTGGACACCCTGAAAGAATCGCTGCTCCAAATGTCAGATGCCATAGTGAACTTGACACCAGATGAATTTGCCAAACACGGAGGCTTTACCATCTGCATCAAGCCTGGGCAGATCCTATTGACCCCGCCCGGCACCATCTTAGTGGAAGTGCCATTGTCTGCCAGCACCTATGCAGTACAGTGGCACTACCTTGCTTCGAGTCAGGTTGCAAGCACACAGATTCTTCAGGACCAAATCAGGTATGTGAATCAAATTGCGTCCTTTGATTTGAAAGAGGCAGATGACTCCGACTCATCTCTGGCACAGCTGCAGTTTCTTGAAAGGATTGTTGAACAAATGGAGCTTGCAGAGTCTCTGACAGAATGGATTTCACAACGCTCGAACTTCAGCCCTGAAGCGCTGCTTGGCTTTGGCGACATCAACTTTGACGAGTACCAGGAAAACATTGACAACATGGCCTTAGAGGCAGTGGACAAACAGGAAAAGTTTGGCAAGCGCGTCAAGAAGATCCATTCTGCACTGGTGAAGTTGGAGGAAGGGTCGAAGGAAAAGAATGTAGCTCATTCAAATCGGGCTATTCCTTGGGCTGAAGTGAAGGAATTCAATTCCATCGACGGACATGATCTGGAGAAGCTCTTTTGCATCCTGTGGCCAGCCATTGAATTTACCTATGTTGATCGCATTGATGAGACAGAGTGCCATCCCTCAGTCATCAAAACCACGGATGCTTGTGACATTCTGAAGGCTTTCTTGGACAGGTGCAGCGGGAAGAAAGCTGTGGCTACCGCCGCTACAGCCCTGGCTACTACTCATGAAGCTGAAGCCACAGCCAACCAGAAGTCAGCGTCAGCAAAAGCAGTGGCAGCAGCAGCAGCAGGGCAGGAGAAGGTGAAGGAGAACGGCAAGGACGAGGTCGAGGCTGAGCAAATAGTGATGCCGCCGCAGGCAATGACTACAGCAGCAACAACGGCGGCAGCAGACTTGAGTCATGGCAATGGCCATGAAGAATCAGAAGAAGAAGAAGAAGAAAAACAAATTCAAGAAAAAGATGGCAGTGGCCCTGGCACTGCAGACAATCTCAATCTCCGCCAGGCTTTGACACTAGCTATTGCAAACTACCCACACAACGACGACCAGCAGTCCGCCGACGGTGAGGATGATGCTGCGTTAGAGCAGGCGCAACAACAAGCAGTAGTCTTAGTTGAACCAGAACAGCGGCCGTCGCTGCCGGCTGCCACAGCCGGAGCCGCAACCGCAGCAGCATCAGAAACAACAAGCCCCCAGCGGACCTCGAAGCCTGACTTCTCCGACGAGGCTTTCGGAAATCGGCTTTGGGAAGGCTTGAAGAGGTCACCATCACCAGCATCATCAGATTATGAAGAAGCACCAGCCAGGGCCGCCGCAGCTTTGCCAAAGCCACCAGCCGCAGCAGCAGCCGAAGCCGAAGCAGCAGAAGCAGAAGAATCAGAGAAGAAGCAGCCGGCGGCGCCGGCAGCAGAGAAAGAGGCAGCAGCAGCAGCAGCATCAGCAGCAGCAGTGGCCAAACCCAACCCGCCGCCGCCAGTGTCAGAGTCAAAGCCGCCTGAGCCTGAGCCACCCGTAGCTCCGCTACCACCATCACCATCACAGGCGGAGGCCGAGGCACCGCCGAATCCAACTGATCCAGCTGCAGCGGCAGCGGCAACCCCAGCACCAACTGCAGCAGCACTGCCAGCAGCTGAATCCGGTGAATCCAGTGAAGCCAAATTATCAAGCGGTGGTGGTGGTGGCGGTGGCAGCGATTCAATTGAAGCAGCAAAAGCAGAAGCGGGGTCGGCAGCTGCAGCGGCACCGACAGAACCACCCAACAATCATTCATTCCAGCCCGAGTCCAAGTCCGAGCAATCCAAAACCAAGCCCCAGCCCAAGCAGCCCGAACCCCAGCCCGCTGCCGCACCAGCAGACACACCACCTGCTCCTCCAAACAAGGGCAATGCAGTTGATCCAAGCCAGCAATTGCGCGAGATTAGGCGAAGTATGAGCCTGACCAAACCGGCAGCTCTCGCCACCGCTGCCAAGCCCTCAGACTCAGCCGCAGCCAACGTCAAAGTTGAGCCGCCCAAGATTCAGCCTCTGACACCAGCCGAACGCAAGTCGGGGCAGCCCAGCCCGTCTTTGGCTGAAACGACTGTCAGGCAAATGCTTGAGCGCAGCAAGCGTAAGCGAAGCAGTGGCAGCTCAGTTGATGATGCAGCATCAGCGGCAAAAGCAGCAACAAATGCTTTGCGGCAACCACGCAGCAAGGCAGAATGGGTCCAGAAGGCAACTGATCAGGGCATTGAAGTTCAAAAGAATTGGACAATTGCCCAAATCAAGTCAAGGCTGGGCCTGGATGACAATGATGGCAAGTCCAATAAAGATGATGCAAACGCTGATGCCAAGGGCAAAGGCAACAAGACGAAGAAGAAGTGAGTGTGAGATGAATCCTGAGCCCGTGCATCAGGAATGTGAGTGACTTACTGACTTTAGGGACAAGGTCTAATTCATTTTTGATTTGACCTTTCCTTTGACGCTTGGTCAGAGGAATTGGGACCCTGACTGCTTTGGAAACACAGCAGTATTTGTGCGGTCCCGCGAATGGTTGTGGTTTTGGTCACAGTTTACAGTTCGAAGTTTGTTTGTTGTTTGTTTCTTTGTATGTGCTTTTTTCAAAAGTTCAGAGCCAGAGATGAAAGAGCGCGAAGCGAAGTTTTCTTGTGAGAGAAGAACTCACTGAGAAATGTCAGTGGGTGGGAAGGACACTACCAGTCCTTTGACGCTTGGTCAGAGGAATTGGGACCCTGACTGCTTTGGAAACACAGCAGTATTGTGCGGTCCCGTCCCGTAAATGGTTGTGGTTTTGGTCACAGTTTACAGTTCGAAGTTTGTTTGTTGTTTGTGTCTTTGTTTGTGCTCTGTCCAGAGTCCAGAGATGAAAGAGCGCGACGGCGCTTTCTTATGAGAGAAAGACTCACTGAGAAATGTCAGTGGGTGCGAAGGACACTACCAGTACCAGTCCACAGGTTGAAAAACATGTGCTTAGCTTGCTGGTGCTGCGAGCTGTTTTGTTCAACCCTGCATGGTTCACGGTTACCCCCTGCTCTATAGGTTTATAGGTTGGTGGCCTTGAGATGTGGTGTTGTTATTTTTAGGATGAATAAAACGCATCTTTCCAACACAGGTGGCTTTTTGGAAGGCCACCATAAATTCCCAGCCGTCTTTAAGATACCTCACGAAATAGTAT